AGACTTTGAACACTAAGTCTTGCATATGATGGAATTATGACAACACTAAATTATTAGGGTGCGGCTAAACTTCGTTATCGGGCTGAATGTAGAAATTTGTGTGAAGGCAGCAGCCGAATTGGGCCCGCCAGGCATTGTACTTGAAGTTGTAGTATACATGTTTGTTGAATGACAATGTATCACATCCGGAGTCACTAAGTAATAGTGTCCTCCTGAGAGGGTACGTAAGTCCCAAAGCATTCAATGTAAATTTGAATCTACTGTTATTTTTAATCGCAGAATATATGTTCTTATAAATATAAATTGCTAATAGCTGAGGGATGGTGTAAATCCAGCTAGGGACCATGCAGGAAGCAAAAGTACTATAAGTCCCCATGGTCCCTAGTATGGTGATCTACCTTCAGTTGTTGGCAATCTATAGCCCGGTTTTATATTGTATTGTCAACTATTGTTAAACTGTTTTAGATTTAATTACTAGTTTTAAATTATTCTCTGTGATAATCTAGTTATTTTACTGTCCTTCGTAGGCAGGCTTTTATAATTTACTATTACTTACTATGTGTACCAATTAATTATTCTCGGCACGATATGGCTGATGTGACGATAAATTTTAACTCATTCACTCACTCACACTAAGTTATAGTAAAAGTAATGATGTCGCCAGAAGTCCTATTGGTGTAGTCTGGAGAAAAAGTGCAACTTACAAGCCCTCAAGAGAGGGCTGGAGCGTAGAATAACACTGATGAAGCTAATTTATTGGAGAACCTGACCAACGACGCATGTGAGACACATTCTGGTAAACCAAAAACCTCAAGATTTTTAAAATGTGTTCCTGTAACTATGTAGAAAATGAGTACCACATGTTACTGATTTGTACTGTCTGTGATGATCTACGTAAACGTTTTATCCCTGTCAAACCTGTCCAACCTTGTGTAAATTTAATCGACTGATGAGTAATGCTATTCCTCTTGTTTTAAGAAATCTTGCCATGTTCATCTTCTATTCTAACAATCGTCGTCGCTGCAGCTTGAAGGCTGCCAATGTATAACGTTGAACCATGGGCCGATGGTCTACATTCACATTCACATGAATAAAGACTAAAAAAGTATTGGATAAAACGACTGATCCCTGTCCACATTCGTAAGAATACGAAAGCAGAATCGATTGCCGAATTACGACCATATCATGAGTTTGTTTTGTTAGTCAAGATCGGAATCGTCTTAAAGACCTCCGTGAAACTCACTTAACAAGATCTATGCCCCTCAACAACTCATCTACAGTTTAGGACAAGTAGATTTTGGTCCATCGTCATCTTCCTCTGTTGGGCTCTGGTATACGTTTCATTGTTGCTCTGACAACTAAAATTGAAGACTAACTGGTTTTGAATAATTACACTACATGAATATAATGGCCTTCTGGTCACAGTTACCCTATATATAAAACAGAGAAAGGTCCTAATGATCTGTGTACTTAAACCATTATCATGTCAGACTATCACACACGACACCGAATTGGCAGCTGTTATATTCAATTGCGGATCGCACATAACAGCTCACGACAATTAGTCCCAGAATGTCAGGACAAGGTTCTTGAAAAGTGGGTTTTCAAAGACAGGATTTTGACAATGAAATTACAAACCACCAAACCTCAAGTGATTCGGTAAATACCGCGAGAATGTTCAACGGACACTTAACATCAAGTCGCGGAACTTTCTTAAAAGAACAAAAAAACAAAACAAACGAGATACAGTTGGTTGGTGTATTGTTGCACAGACGATTCGCCTTCTGTGGTTTATGCAGCTGTGTGAGGATGAGTAGAGTTCAGTTTCTCTCTCTAAGTTTGGAATGCATACATATATTTTAATTATATGTAATTATCTAAAAGGAACCAGGATTACCTTTATCTGGGATAAATGCAGTTTTGCTTTCATGTCCAATATTTGGCCTTGTTTCTTGTACAAATAGCTGCATTAACAGCATACAGTAGTAATTACTTCGTGTTATTCGTAATTATACATCACTTAACGATCTATTATTACTTTGAATATGATAAATACCTTTTTTATCTGGGAGTTACATCATACAGCACATGACTCGACTTGAACAATAAATCATTGAACAAATAACTTTCATGTACAGTCACATAAATTCCTACAATTGTTTTGAAGTTGTGAAATATCTTTTATTCATCTATTTGTTATTATACGTTGTTTGTTGACAGCATTAAGCTGATACCTGCGCCATCGGGATACGATGACGTAATCAGCTCACACATTGTGACCACCCAATCCTCTAACGACTAGCGTTACCTATGATATCGATGACTTGTGAACCCCAGTTAATCCGAACGACCCCTCCCGTTGAAAAGGAAATTGACTTGACAAATCCCTGATGAACTGATAATTAGTGCCTAGCAGAATCCCGTTTTGTTTGTAAAGATGTAACAGTAATCGTATGGAGTGTTGGCTTCACAGGAGACCGGACTAGTGAGGTTTACACTATACATGTTTAATTATTTGTACTTAACGTCGGTTAAATTATTTAATATCCCGATGTACTAGCCAAGGTTAGGCGATTACTGGTTCCTGGTTTAAAGCCATATGACCATAGTCTCTGGACCAGAGAGATGTTTGATTATGTTTGACATAATGATCATGGATCTACGGAAGAGGATCTCGATTACATGCATCAACCAAATCAGCGCACTTAACAGCCAGGGCCTAGATTTTCGAAGCTCTCTTAGTGCTAAGATAGTCGTAAGTTAATGTTAATGCATGGTTTGTCGCTCCTTACGATGAGCATGGGTTGGTGAAGACCAAATCTGCCAATGATCTTCACGGGTCGTTAGTTTTGTAGTTACAGCGCTTGAGGTGCAAGCAACGCAGGAGACCAGATTAAATAGAGATCAACCTCTTTATATATCCTATATTCCAATCAATCACTATCTGGAACGTGTAAATACAAGTTGATACAGATGTTCAATGATCGATAACTAATACAAGTCAATCCCGATTCAACTACCAGCTGCACCGTCTGGATTAACCAGGTACAGTTCTACTCCCCACACAATGTATAAGCACCGTCACTCTGTTAGGGCCCTCGTTGGGATGCAGTCTTATTGAACCATCTACCTCAACCATATACTTAGATCTATTCTGTTTGCGTCTGATCACGGTCAATGCATACAATACAGCCTGACTACAGGCGGAATTGAAAACTGTCATCACAGATGATGCGCCCTTTGAAAACAAAGCGACATTCATAATAATGAAGGAGCTGTGTGCATCACACTGACGCCTCTGTCAGCAGTCTGTAGTTAGTCTGGGGCTATTGTGGTCGGAAAGTCACCTATGGTTTCACTCAATGTCTGAAACTTTAATTAAAAGTTACAAAGTTTTCACAACTATCGGATTGTCGAAATACGCTAAGGTTTTTATCACATGTATACAAACATAGACGGTTAAGAACTTTCAAATTTAACATCACTACGTTTACATTTAATTTAATGGATAACAAATCAATTTATATACAGCCACCATTGTGATTTAACATAGTATAGCGGTTCTGTAGCTCACCTTCTGTAAAAAGCTAGAGTGAGTGAGTTTAGTTTTAAGTCACTTTTAGCAATATTCCAGCAATATCACGGCGGGGGACACCAGAAATGGGCAAATATTGTACCCATGTGGGGAATCGAACCCGGATTGCGTGAAGCATCGAAAAATCAGTGGTTTCATTTTTAACATGGGGTTCCACTTAAATCTGTGAGCAAAAGGTGAAGTGATGCAAATAATCGACTTTTTATAAAACATATGAACACAGAAATGGTGCCGGTTCTCATCGAAACAGCATCAGATGGAATTTGAGATTCGAACCCACTGCCATATCATTCTGGAACGTCTAAAACAGGAAAGACCAAGAGCCAGATTCGTCTTTAGCAACCAATGCTTGTGCTGTTGATCACTCGATTGTCTGGTCCAGTCCCATCATCTAAAGACCGCCGTCATATAGCTGGAATATCACTGCGTGTGGCGTTAAACACCCCCCACAAAAAAGAAAAAAGTGTACCACCCATTCCCTCCCGAAAGTGTAACAACCATCAACCATGGGGACAGTAAAATACGCCATCAACCAGTCTACAAATATTGTCCTGTAAATCCTTCCGCCTTTAATTTACAGAGAGACTGAACCCACTCTGACAGACGGGTTCTTAATGCAAGAACATGCACACAGCACATAGTGGTGATCTGAGGTTCAGCGTTCAGCTTGTCACTCCTGTCACACAAAGCCACAAAGTTTAACGTAACAGTTTTCTGAAACTGCTAGTTATGTCATCGGCCTTTCCAGGAGGAGATTAACAAGCAACCGTCAGCAATTTCATTCGCAATTAAACTTCTGCAGCACGCACGTGATATCCTTTAAAGATCGGCGACATTACATCAATCCGCAATTGAAAACATAATTCCCTTCACACAAGGATTTCTGTCTTTATGGTGTCACGACTGCTCTGCTTTATTGAGACGAGCTAAGAACTTTCAAGTTTCTCCTGAGCAGCATAATGAAAGGCGACCATGCGTGGTGTCGAGCTCGCATAAAGTAATCCCATACATTATGACTTTGAACAAAGAATGAAAGATTTCATCAAAGGTCAATTTTCTTTTATCGACCAATTATTTCAGACGGCTTTTATTCTAGTTTCCTAAATAAGGTGTTAGATTTGTAGACACCTTTGAGTTTTGATTGGCATAAATCCAATTAATAAAAAGATTTTGTCCGGGAATTGACAAATTCGGTAACATGTCTGTTAAACCAGAACAGCGACTTTTTTCTTTGACACAAAATAACGATTATATTTTTTTTAAAAACATGCAGTGTAAATTGAAACGGTTCCCATTTTATATGGTTCGGAAAGTGTTCGTCCCAGAATCTCTAGTTTATTACACCATCAGAGAGCAGTGCCCCGTTTCATATTCCAACTGTTTGGTGGTAATGTTATTATTATGTCGATCTTATGTTCTCAGATGGCAGTTAGGACTCGCCATCCACACGAGAGGTTTTCATTAAGGAAGACGACCATTAATGGAGAAGTCGCTGATTGTCGGTTTTGATGTTTGAGGCAGGTAATGATTCAAGGGTAAAAGGGAATAAATGTTTGCATAGACCACGGAATAACACCGAAGCTTGATCTAAGATCTTATTAAGCTCTGTCACTGTTCAGGTAGCCTGACAATCATGCATTCAAACTCATTCGTTAAGGACTGAAAAATGAGGGCACGCTGCAATGTTATGGCGTACGACTGACGTTAATGTGTTGGAACATTCAGCGGACACTGGCAGGTCAAATTGCTTGAGTGGTGGCCATGTTTGACCAGCCTGACCACCACATCGCAACCTTAATTGTACAATGTCCGAAAAGGGTGGTTCAAATTGGGCAGCCGTTGAACCGAGAGTGAGGAATCGTTCACAAGGGGCCGCGTAGTCTGTCGGCAAATGGAAGGGCACACTAAACCGCCCTGAACAATACTCTGGATGGGATTAGAGAAGAACAGTACACATCAATTTGAGCTAGGTTGACCTATCGTGTCTGAAATTATGGCACCCAAAGCCAATAAACTTTAGCTGGTGTCTCGGCATTAGGGTAGTCCAGCGTTAAGGACTTGAGAACTAGGTTCGCAACCAAGGAGTCACAACGTGAAAATTCACACGCACGTATGTCTGAGATCAAATTAACCATTACCAAATTGACCACAGGTTTCATGTGCCCTCTATGCACCAAAACCTATGCTTATTCATTGCAATTGTGTTCTGTGACCTGTTTAGAAGAAGCAAAACATTTCACTGTTGGTAACAGCTCACTTGCCCCAAGGTGTGGGAAATCTGACCGCTTACGTCAACCCAGCTGGGTCGACCTTTGATGTCACATATATTTTATGTTCGAATATTTCTGTCATTCAAGATCCAGTCCGGACGCTGTATGCTCTTTCGATGATAATTTCGTCTCACATAATAAAATAAATGCACAGAGGCAATTTCAGCACTTCACTGATGACTTATTTCAGAATGCACACTTGACATTTATCACCACTTCTTTTGTTCTAATTCTGAGGATGTGCAGCAAAGCCTTCAGGGTGTCAGTTGGTCTTCATTGAGAATATTTAGATTACATTGTTCTAAAATGGTTATTTTTATCATCAAATTTACTAAATTTAACTTTCCATTAGAAACTAAAAGGAAGTTATTAAGTCAAATGCACAATTTACTATCGAAGCTCATCGTGTTCTACACTTTTGCTGGAAAGAATCTTCTTAACCACAGTTCTTAAGAAAACATAATTAAAAACATAATGTCATATGTCAATGTGGTTAATTTTAGCAAGTGGATAGGTTCTTCGGAATTTAATTATTTTCCAAAAGTTCAAACGTGGAGCAACAATCAATTGTTGACGTCATGCAGTGCATATACGTCATAAATAAGTTTACAATTATATCCTTCGGTGTTAACTTTAAAGAAACGCAACCGCGCTACTCTCATTTGCTTTTATCTGTCGTAGAAGGATTTAAACTGATGTTTTGTTCATATGTAATGCATTTAACCTTTAGTCCATGGTTCTCGCCTTCGTAGATTCATTTTATCGTGAGATTATTAGTAACCTAAATATGGTGCTAATGGTTTCCTGATGCACGGCTGTTCTGTTTGGTATATACATGTATAATATAACATGCAAACATACTTAATAGATAATGTTAAGGGTGCCGTTGTACAAAACAACCCCAGCGCTACGACAGCCGTAAGTCAATGTTAAGGTATGTTACGATCACCTAAGCCCTATGGTCACTTTGTACCAACGACACCCATGATTGATATTGGTAGGATTATAAAGGTGATGTGATATTTATCCCAGTTATGCCAATCTGGAGATTAATTTTATAAAAACACAAAAGACAAAGATTGCACATACTAACCACCTCAGTGAAAACTAAAACCACCCCTCAATAGCTCCACAAATACTTAATAATCACACGTGATTTATTTTTTGTGTCAGCTGATGTGGAAGAGCAATGGCTGCAGTGATGCAGGTTTTGGATGAGTACCTTTTGTTAAAATCCTCAATGCATGGTATGATATTTACAAATCAGGAAACACAATCATAGCGAATACGAATATAGGAATTGGACCCAAGTTCCTAGCACGACCAGGGGACGCAACTCTGCACAACCGATAACGGACTGGTCCATCTCTGCATCTTCTTCTGGAGTGCTCGATATGGATTCTGGATCATAATTCTCAGCCAGCAAACCTAAGATCCTTATTCTGGATCTGAACCATGAACACCTGAATTATTATTCATAGCGAATTTTAGTGGCTCAGAAAATCAACATCCGAATGGGGACGTCGACCGTATAAATATAGCGTTTAAAGCGTTCGTAAAATATCAACGTCACGAGAAACATTGACCAATGAGATTAAGTGTTATCGTGCATAATTTCATGTTTATGTTCATCGGAAAAAGAGAACTTTATTGACAACTTTGGTTTTATTTCATAATGCGATTTTTCGATGTAGATTCTTACCGTTATGCTGCTGGAATGACTCCATACATACCGCTGTATGACAAAACATGTTATCAAAAAGCTATAGGTATTTCTTTTTGCTCACTAACCTGTATGCACACGAAACAGTATTTATGTTTGATTCTTTTGGGTCCATGAGGGGTGCATACCACAAAGGTCAATGTATAATGCATGGAATGCATGTTAACAGCAAATGAACCGTGAATAGAAACCTGTGTACACATACACACATTTCGTAATTTACCCATTACTGTCCATACGAACCGGTGAAGGTCTTTACTCATTACTGTCCATACGAACCGGTGAAGGTCCAGGTTAGAATGAACCTTCAGTAACCTTTAGCTTGTCGTAGGAGGTATCGGGTGGTCAGGCTCGCTGGCTTGGTTGACACATGTCATCGGTTCCCAATTGCGCAGGCCGATGCTCATGCTGTTGATCATTGGATTATCTTGTCCAGACTCGATATTTTACGATTTATGACCGCCGCCATTAAGCTGGAATATTGCTGAGTGCGGTGTAAAACTAAACTCACTCACTACTGCCCATACGCACCATTTAATACCAGAAGAAAAAGAAGAACATCATCATACTCATCATCATCATCATCATCATCAAGAGCAACAACGACAACGAATGTATTTGTTGACGCGGCATGACAACCAGCAGTATCCATTTTCATATTTTGTGTAGACCATTGCAGTTTATTATGTTTCCTGGTTCAAAACAACTGGATTAAACCGAAATTTTGTTTGTATCTCGTTTCATTTCTGTTCACAGTGTGAATATATGACAGTATTTCGTAGCCTTCTAGACACGTCTTGGACCCCTTAAAATCCGGATTAGAATTGGTCTTCAGCAACCAATGCTTGTAAGAGGCGACTAATAGGATCGGGATGGTTAGGCTCGCTGACTCGGCTGACACATGTCATCGTATCCCATTTGCGTAGATCGATGCTCATAATGTTGATCACTTGGTTCATTGATCTGGTCAAGATTCGATTATTTACAGCCTCCCGCTATATAGCTGGAATATTGTCCAGTGCTGCGTTAAACAAACAAAACACGAACAAATCTTACGACTAGCGTTACGTATGAGGCCCGTGAAGATCCGGGGTAGAATAGGTCTTCAGCAACCCATGCTTGCCGTACAAGGCGACTATGCTTGTCGTAAGAGGCGACTAACGGGATCGGGTAGTCAGGCTCGCTGACTTGGTTGACACATGTCATCGGTTCCCAGTTGCGCAGATCCATGCTCATGCTGTTGATCACTGGATTGTCTGGTCCAGACTCGATTATTTACAGACCGCCGCCATATAGCTGGAATATTGCTGAGTGCGGCGTAAAACTAAACTCACTCACTCGTTACGTATGATGTCGATGAATTGGAAAACCCAATTAATCCGAATAATACCTGAGTGTGGCGTTAAAAAAACTGCAATTAAACAAACAAACAAACATAATATATGTCAGGAAGACTCTAAACAAACGTGACGTCTCCCAGCAAGGAGTTGTCAAGTCCTGTGCCCATGACATGATTACTCCGTCCAAAATAAACTGCATTGCAAGAATGAATTCTCTTCTGTCTTGGGATTACACAATGCAACAAAAATTAAAACAAATCGTCACAGATATTTTTTATTGCACGTTTCCAAATGTTACCGACGTTGACATACTCCATGACCTTTTAACAATTTCAAGGGTTGGCTGTTGAATGATTTCTCGGAATCTGCCCTCAGCATACTGGCATTCCACGTATTTTTGTCCACAGTCAAGGGAATACTTTTATACATGTTAGCGATAAAGTATAAGAACATATCACATGGAATTTAGAGGTCGGTTATCTTCGGTATGTTTCGGATACGTTCGGTATGAAAAGACCTTGTCAATGACCACGTGGTGCGGTTGATTCATTGTGACCAATAAATGATGCCGATTAGAAAAAAGTAAAAGTAATTCTCATGGGGGCGAAGTGCAGATATTATTGATTACCTTCCTCCAGCGTAATTGGGCGGTCTTGCTCGCACAATAGCAAATATGTTTCGTATAAAAGGGTGCATTAAAGTAACACCACCACTTGCAATTATCTCAAAACGCGAATATTCTGCGAAAACATGCTATGCGCAGATGACCAATAAAAAGTGACAAAAGCAACACAAAGTTGAACTGTCAGTCAATTCGATAATCTATAATATCACGTCATAGCACAAATGTCAACGTCCGAGGCTAAGTTTTGAGTACGCTATCGGGAGATGGAGTGCATCAAATACCAACGTGTAACCTTCTAATATTCAATCTAACATTTCTATTTGCTCTCTGAGAATCTTTTGATTTATACATTCTTAACTAAACAGTATGAGTTCAATCAAATCAATACAGTAAGACAAAGTCTTTAATGAAAAATGTCCGAGAATATTCGTCAAACTTAATTAGGTTTCTATCCCATATACCAGCACATGACGGAAAGCGGAGAAGGTCAAGGTCGCGTGGTTCCCATGTTACATCAACGAAACAGCTAGGTCAAACCCTTCCACCTCCACAGTATTTCTTCCGAAGCATAATTGTTCGTGGTTGTCAACAAGGTAAGAATATCGTCAAGCCGAGCCTGTATGTCTTATAAACCGAAGGTGGTAGTCGTGTAAATCAAGCTGTCCGTCTCTCCGTGTAGGTTAACAATGGCTCGTTCTTTTGGCTGGATCAATCTCTCCTGGAGGTTCTGAAGCATTTAATAATGCTGTGATTTTGCGTTGGTTGATACTGCTGACCTCGAAAGGGAAAGAATAATGGAAGCTGAAGGCTCCTCCAGAACCTTTACATCAGCTTCGAGCAGTTTTAGAAACGCACATGTTTAATTACACAGGCTTACGTGAAATTCAAAAGTATTTGTTCACCCAACAACGCTCCTATCCTGGTTATTTCCATTGCTTAACATTGACGTCGCATAGTTCTCGCAGTTTGCCATCGTCATCTCGCTTGACATTTCCATGGCTTTTTAAAACGAGCCCAAAGGGCAAGACTTGATTTCAAAGAATATGCCAGGCAAAATTAGTTTCGTTTATGAAGCATACATTGGCTGTGGCCCTTACTAGAGATCTTATCAGGTGCATTGAAAAGTTAAAATCCTAATTCCCCAGAGTGTCTGAGTACACATCTCGGAGAAAGCCGTGTCACTCACTTCAGATTACTGTTTGTCAGTCAAGCCAGTCAGGAGGTTTCATGTTTCCCGCTTAGGGTTCCGACCCTTTAACACTCTCGATATGTACGCGAACACAACAGTGGAGGAGTGGTAAGACACGAGCCAGATCGATTAGGCCGACTTGGAAGTTTAGAGCAGTCACGGCAATAATACGATGGATAATTCTTAGGCTTATGACCCTTCTCCTCTGAGACGTTTTACACCTCCTGAGAAAACACAGCTCTTGAATGTCAGCAACCGTATCGATATTTGCTTCACACTGCATGGGGATTAATACTCTCAATCGATGTTATGACAGTAAATGTAAGAGATGGTCGTAGTCAGGGGTGCCACGGGATTCGCCAGAACACCACTCATACTGCACGGATCCAGTAGGACGAGCTTAGGCACACAACGACCAAATTATTGTTGTTTGGTTACGACCGTGTTTGAAGAAACATCAAAACTGACACTTGGTATCGCCAAGAGGACCAGTACCAGGTCTCCGCAGATAGGCTATGATTTTCCTGAAACACCCCTCTTAGGACAGTGTCAAGAAATGATATTAATGGAAAGGTGATAGTGTGTACATTCCCAGTTTAATCCTCACGTTTCATGAGTTATATCCTTACTGAGGTCATGCAATGTTATGAGAGTCAAACGTCTAAATTTCCGAGTTATATGACCCCTAAGGTTCTCATGTATCATGTGTAGGCAACAGCTCCTTGATCGTGGATCCATTCTACATAGAGATCTTAACGCCCCGGCTGTCTTAAGTCAACGATAATTTGAAAGTATGGGATTTACGATCGTTGCTTTGGTAAACGAGACCAAGGGTTCAAATTGAGGCGTGAATAGCGTGACTGACTCATTGCCCACACGTATGAACCCGTACCGTCGCTATCTGGTGCTATGTTCATACCAGTGATGATATACTGTCAAATTACGGAATGTTGTTCTTGGCAATGAGAATTACACGTTGTGTAAGGTGAGGTGAAATTGGGTTTAACGTCGTGCTTCAGAATATTTCGCTCATATGACGACGTGCATGCGTGTGTATACGTATGTACGGCTGCTTGTACTAGCCAAGGCTTAATCTGGTTTTATAGTGCTAGCCCACTGAGATACCATGCCGCAGTGAAGCATGAATACCCCACTCAGACACATTATACTGACTCCGAGCCGACCAGTCCTTGTACCCATAAATGCCGAGCGTCAGGCATGGACCAACAAGTACCATATTTTAACGTCTTTTGGTATGACGCGGTCGGGGATCGAACCCGCGACCTTCCGCTCTCCGGCGGACGCTCTAACCACTACACCACGGAGGCGGTCCGTTGTGTAAGGTAATAAAAACAACGTTGTATATGGATAATGGATAGAACGTATGCCTTGAGAGCGGAAGGTCGGTTGTGCTTTTGCGTAATACAAAAATACTAAAGAAGATGGCAGTACTACTGGGAGTTATCCTTCCTGGCGCTCGGCATTAAGGTGAACGCCAAAGGACAGTTCGGCTGGATTCAGTATAATGTTTCTGAGTCGGGTATCCTATCTCTATGTTCAATCGCAGTGGGAGATGAATGTTATTTACATGTGACAATTTTCTCCAACAGCGATATGAAATATGCAGTATCACAATTTTCCAATTGTGTTCCAATTTAAGAAACTTTTGACCACGAACAGTGTAAGAGATCTAAAATGTGTATAAAATGTTTTAGTTTATGTGCATCTTACTGTTATTACTCATGTAGATGTAGTTTTCTACACGTTGGAAACTGTATCTCATCTGCAAACGTGGCTGGTTTGTCTGGGAATTACATGAGTTGGGTTTGACTGCAGCATGGTGTCCCAGATGGATGGTGACATAAAACCGGTATTACACTCACTTACTCACGCAATCAAACGCAAACGCATAGGCACAGTACCTCCGCGTGGCAATGGGTACCATCATCTTGAACGCATTTCACCTCCTTTCACTTCACATTAATATACATTGTAATACAACAGACACGTTACCTCAGGCAAATTCCTTCAATCTTTTCACACCTTACTTTTGTGCTTGCTCAAATGAGCATAATAGATTATCATTAAAAATGATGTACTTGAATCTAACAAGTATTTTGTTTCGTTGTATAAATATATATCGATATCTCATACCAAGGGTAGAATTATTTGATCCTTTTCTAGCTTTATGTGGAGAAAATGTTTTACTTTAAATTCTGCGTACTGTTGTTGGATTATGCTGAGTATGGGCTTTCAGTGTACTGTAGAATGGGTGAATCGTGAAATATGACCCAACAATATGACACACGATTTGTTATCGACACAATATATATGGAAGACATGTAAATGTATCAGAGTGAAATTCGGTAATTCCAAAAAAAATCAGGTATTCGAACGCAGTTTGGGTTTGACCTGAACTCCAAAACTTCCAAGAATATGTACTTTACTGACAAGGCGTAGCATAGCATTTGCTACATTTACATTATTTGTTTTAATTATAAAATTAATTTTGTATCAATATTATGAATACTTAGGGATTTGTTGTTTGTTTTGTTCAGTCTGTTTCCAATGGAACACTGATTTCGAATTAAACGGTTATTCATTTTTTATGTTAGTGATACAACATACATAGATATAAGAAACAGTCATAGAGAAGCATCTGATGGGATTTCTGAATTGGCTGGATCTCAACTAATGAGATTTCTCTGTATATGTAATAAAATGTGGTAAGTTATTGTTGGGTCTGTTATGAACCTTTATCACAACCACATTGAAGTACGAACAGACCAATAGTCGACAGCTCTTAAAATATGACCTTTATCAGAAGGTAATATG